TATAATGTTATACACCTTATATAAACTTTTTCCATTATACAATATCATATGCGAGTTGCATGAGCTAGAGAGAGAGAGGAGGCTGGAGAGGCTACAGGGAGGGAGGGAGAGAAAGAGTGAGTGAGAGGAGAGAGAAAGGGGAGGGGCCTCTTGCCTTTTGCCTATTTGTTATGAAAAAACGTTGCCCTATCTCAAATCCCCAAAAAATACAATTTGGCATCAAAAACCCAAAAATCTATTTTTGTCTCTATTTATAAAATTTGAATATAAAAAAATCAAATTAGAGCCCACTTAAAAATTTTCACTAGAAGAGGTTGTTTTGATGCTCAAATATCCTCAAATTGATCATCTCGACATCATGCATGAATATGAGAAAAAAATTGATTTCAAGTTTTGAAAATAGTGCATCTTGTAACACATTTTTTTACTGTTATTTTTGAAGAATTTCAAGTTTTTATAGATCTGCTCGATTTACATTATTTTTATAGCCTTAAATTTTATAATTTAAGATGAAAATATATTTTAAGGCTATCACAAATATTTTCAATATTGAAACTATATTTTTTGACACAATTTAAAGGTGGGTTTTACTTTGATTGTTTAGAACCTCAACTCTATACAAACCGCACCCTAAAAAAATATTTTGACAAATTTGTGAAAACTTAAAAAATGGATAGTTCATTACAAGATAAAATATTTTTTGGTTTTAAATATTTATTTTTTTCACATTTATGATGGTTGAAATTAAGATTACCAATTTAAAGGTTTTCTAAGACTTGAACTATAATTTATGGTGAAATTCAAATTTTATTTGTAAAGTTTAAGCTTCTTGCTAATATTTTCCATTTTTTTTCCACTAAATTTATCGACGTGGTAAATAATTTGGATGACTTTGTCATTTTCATTTCTAGCCGTTCAAAGAGAACCGCAAAATACTGATTATAATAATTTCCATGAAAGCATAGACAAATTTTTGAGAAAAAGCACTTAATCGAATTATCAGCGAAAACACTTAAATCTTGTCTTCTTATATCTTACAACCAATAAAACAAGGACTACAAGCGGCTTGCACTCAAAACTCAGCGTAAAACACAATTTTGATATCGAAAAACGTGCATATTGATCATCTCCATACAGATAGATATGGATATGAAAAGGAAAAATATATAATGAGATAATTTACTTTGGAAAAAGTTTATATAAAGATGCTACCTTATAATGTAGAATTACATATGTCTCTCAAAAATCCATCGGAAAAGGTAGTTTTAATGTTGAAAAACCTTTTGATTAATCATCTTGACATCTAGATGTATGACCATGAAAAATAAAAAAAATTTAAGTCTCAAAAATAGTGCATGTTACAACATATTATCTACGCCTTCCATTTTTAAGATTTTCATATGTTTATAGCTCTATTTCATTTTAACTATTTTTGAAATTTAAAATTTTATAATTAGATATAAAAATAGATTTTGAGATAATTCTAAAAACATTTTACATCAAAATTATATACTATTATAAAATTTGAAGGTGCGCCTTACTTCTACACCTTCAGATGCATCCATATGCCAACTGCACCCATTTACTTTTGGTACAATATGGTCACAATTAATCTTGACTATTGGATGTGAAATTGGATGGCTGCATTTATTACATTGACCAAACTCAAAGTTCACCCAAATTATCAAATTTTACATCGGATGGTTTCAAAAGTGATTGTGATATCCCTATACCAAAAGAAAATGATCTCATTGTGTACGAATTTCAAACAATAATAATGATCCATGTAGCAATTAATTTATGGAATGTCCCTTTCATGCAGTTGTGTTAGGGGACTGGATTTGGGTAAAGCATGCCCTAGCTTGAGCCCGACGGGAAACAACGGTGGGTAATCCAAACTTCGGGAAAGGAAATTGTTTTGTGCATGTTCCATGCCCTACCCATATTCCCGACCGGGAGCCTAAAAAAGCGGGTATCAGTTTGGGCCTAGGAAAAAATTTGTTTCGGGCCTATCTTGGGCCCAACCTACATTCGTGGCAGGGAGGCCCAAGCTTAAACCGGCCCCGACCTGATATCAACAATAAAATATTTAATAAATTTGATATATATACTTAAACTTTTAGGCTGGGCTTGGACGGGGACAACTCTTTCCCAAGCCTAGCTCGAAAATATTTGAGGTGTATCAGACCCAAACCATGCCTAACTTGCCAACCTTAACATGAGGCTGGAGCCCATCCCGAATAAAGCCCAATGCAAAAGTTAATGGGCCAGACTGGCCCGTTAAAAATCCTCCCAAATCTAGACCACATATGGAGCTCAAGCTCCAAATTCCATACCCATGAGCAAATTATTTTACGTTTAGGCCATCACATAGGTTTTTGGGCACCAAAATTGCAATTCTTTTTTTTGAGGTTTCAAGGTGTTATTGCCAAATTTAGTAAAACCCTAGCCCCGGGCAAACTCAACAATTTTAATTCCAGGCGTCACTATAAATAATGCATTACATTTATTACAGGCTGTCCTCTATTATATAGGAAATTTCAAAAAGTTGAGAGAAAGCCCAAGAGGCCACTTTTCAAGCATGCTAAAAGCCTCTGGCCTGGTGTCATGAAAACGATTCCCTAGAATCATAATATTTTTTATGGTTAAGTATTGGTAAACAAAAGTCACCATGTTAACTAATTCGTTTAATACTAGTTATTGGAAGTATGATTTAGCGTTTAAGGGTAAGTTATAATGTCTAGGCCTGGTTATTTCATCATCCCTCAAATTCTAAACTCTATAAGTTTCAAATTCCAATCTCTAAACTACTCAATGCACAATGCATAAATATTCAGAGTGAATAGAGATCGTCCAATTTTTTAGCGATCAGATTTAAGTGCTTAGAAACTCAAGATCAATATTTATTTTTTAAAATACACATTTGATTTGGACCGGACCTAGATTTTTAGATCGAAAAAATCATCCTCAACTGATCTTTTACCCAAGGGGACTAAGTGCATAGTTTTACTCCATAGAGAGTATATGATAGATCCACTCGTACAAGCGAATCCACGCTGATCATATGTTGGTTCCCAAGAAAGAGCTTTCCCGCCGGATCACCGCTTTTCTTTGTTTGTTACATGAGAAAGTGATGGGCACTATAGCACCCTGAACAAGTGCTAACATGTGCCAAAAGCACGTCGCTAATATATTTTGCTAGAAAACACTTTCATACCTATTTTTGTATGAAAATGCCTTCCTATGTGAGAGAGAGAATAGTGGTTGAAATAAGGTGGCTCTCCACTAGAGAAAGAGTTGCGGTTTTTCTCTAGAGAAGGCATGTTGGCTGTCCAGTGGGGAGAGAGAGTGGTGGTTTTAATAGAGAGAGATAGGGGACGGTGGCTCTCATCTTCCCCATTCTCTTTTTCTCTCATCTCCTAATTTTTTATCTCTAAGTTGGTTCGTGTTTGTATTTTTAAGATAAAAAAATACTAGATAGTATTTCAAAATAATAGGTTTTAAATGAAGTTTTAATAGGTTTTTAACGTATGGATAAAAAAAGTGATGGGGTTTTTAATCTCATATTGAATTGTAAAGTGAGACAAGTAGAGGTGGCAATGGGTCGGGTCCGGCTAGACTTGAATGTATTCGGGTCCAGGTTTTAGACCCGGACTCGAACTGTCGGGTCTAAAAGTTGAATCCATACCCGTACCCATCAGGTCCCGAGTCTATCCCATCGGGTCCACTACCACTCTCAATATGAGCTTCTTTTTTTGTACCTTACAATGATGAACAACATAACACTTATTTTTGAGGGGTGGGCGATTAGAGAGAGAGAGAGAGAGAGACACATTCGAGATCCAGAGAGAGAGCTATGTCTCCAAAAAATTGAAAGAGGGATAATTACAGAGAGAGAGAGAGAGGATAGCGATGGGGTTTGGGCATTTGGAGAACTAAGGGAAAATGGATAGTATTGAAATGATTTTAGAGTTGGGGTTTTGGTATTTCGGTAAACTAAAAATTCGGGTCTAGGTACCCGCCGGGTCGGGTATAGTAGGATCCGTACCTAGGTACCCGCCGGGTCGGGTATAGTAGGATCCGTACCCATACCCGAGACTATCCAGGTATCCTTTATTGGACCCGGATACTACTCACGGGTCCAAAACTTTAACCTATATCCGGACCCGTGTCGGGTATACCCGGCAGGTATAGGTCGGGTCCGGGTCCATTGCCACTCCTTGAGATAATAATGATATTTACATGGAATCACTCTTTAGCCTTATATTTACGGAACAAAATGGAGAGATTGTCTGTAATGCAATGTGGCAATTGTTGTAGTTATGATTTATGTTTCTAACCATGGCAATGCGCGATGAATGATAGGGACAAGTGTTTTATAGGCTCGTCTATTTTAATACAATAATGGAAGATATTATTTGGTGACAATTCAGTAAGGGGGTAATGACGGGTGAGATTATGTGGTAACAATTCTATAAGCGAGCGGGAATATTTTTTAACCATTCGGTAAGGGGACAAAATACAGCTTTCAATACAAAAATTCCTCCCATCCTTCTTTATATTTTATCAAATTCTCTACAATTAAATACTACAGCTCCCATTGTACCTTTCATTTTTCAGAGGGGAGAGGTAGATAACATAAACTGTGTGGAAAAAGCACAAGAAAAACAACACAAAAACATTAGAGAAAACACAAAGATAATTAAACTAGGGATATCCTGGTCATTTTAAAAAATGGATGGCATCTACGCAATTTCTGTAATGGATTAGGCGTAATCTCGTCTTTTTGTCTTCACCCAAAACATACTATCCGCTTCCCCGGTCAGGGTAGTTTAGTAATTTGATTTTTTTTAATCTTCTGATTTTATTATTATTTAATCGTAATTATTCATTTATTTTTTCCATTTTTTTTATTTCTAGGCGAATAAATCAGTAACGAGAATATTGAGGAAACTAAAAAGTTAACTGAATCTTTCGCTCTCTAACTTCTTACTCTGTCTATCTTGTTACTCCTCTCTCTCACTTGTTATTCTCTCTCTAGCCTGTGGCATGCTCTCTCCTAGAACCAGTTTTCAACAGTTTGTTTGGATATAAAGACTCTCTCTCTGCCATTTCTTCATTTTGAGGCCATTTCCCTTGTTAGGGGCTTAGGGCTCTGAACCATATCTCGGTGACACTATGCTCGCTTCACCTTCACGTCTCTCGGGCGTGAGCAGTTTCATAGCTCTGAACACTGTACGTTAATGGAGCTCTTAAAAATGTCCTTTCTTAGGTCCAATGGTTGAGCTTTGCTTTTTGTAGTGCTTCTCTGAAATTTAGGGTATGGTAGTGTTAGTTTTTGTTTTGATCGATTATTGTAAGGGTTTTTGAGCTTTTTTGATTGCTTCTTATGCAGGATATGAGATTTAGGGTCTCTTTGCTCAGTTGGAGCTGAACCTTTGGCATTGAAGCTCTCTGATGCGGGAGAAACCGGCTCTCTTTGCTGAGAGAGCCTTTTGTGAGGTATCTTCCCTGGTTTCTAGGGTTTGCATCTGGTGAATCACAGGGATTTCCAGTTATTGGCCATTAAACAGCATTTGCAGTGGTTACCTTTGAATCATAGCTCAAAATAAGAGATTTTTGCTTGATGCAACGAGTTTTGGTGTTATTTAGTCAAAGAGGTCGTTTGAGCTAGTTGCATGCAAATGATTCATGTTTTGCTAGTTGCATACAAAGGATTCATGTTTTTTTCAACCTTCGAATGAGCTTTTGGAGCTGGTTTGTAGAAATTAGAGCTTTGAACACAGTCACTTAGGTTCAAATCTCTCTAACACTACGGTTCCTGAGGATCAACGAGGCCATTTGAGTTCTCTTACTGCAGTGAATTAAAAGGATTCCAGTCCTAGTCGAACTTTCCTGGCTTATGTTTCTGAAAATCCTACTGAAAATCCTAAAATGCATAAAAAGGCTAGGTTTTCGGCTGTTAACGAGCTTTCTGAGCATATTTTCTGAGACTATCAAGAGATATTCATCCTTCTCTGCTCGTAAAACCAGCACTCAGGTCTTACATATTGATCGCCTCATCTGGTTGAGGACACCTGGGACATCTAATTCCTCGGTAAACAGAGAACTTTAGCATCTGAGAATACTTCCTCAAATCGTGAAAGTTTTTGGCCTTAGGTCTGTGGAAAAGAGATTATTTTTTGTCAAAGAAGTTTTCTTGGTATTTTTCTCGGGTTGGAAGCTCGTGCTTAGTGAGAATTTGAGAAAAGGTGAAAGGAAGGGATTTATGTGATTTTGTGGTCAAATCTGCTCACATTTGTTCAGCCCTGTCGAATGTGGTATTGGAGTTAAAAGATTTACCTTTTGATAGGAGTTTTGGCTCGATCTATTTGACTGTTACTCTTGTTCTCATTGAGCTTGCCTCCGCTTATATAGATTAATCTGGTTAATTCACTTTGCTGTTGAAAGGAATTTGAGCAGAGTGTATTGGGTGTAGTCGATATATTCAAGCTCGTTACCTGGGTTAAATCTTAAGAAAAAGGGTTTTTCGTGCAAAGGGTTTTGCGATGAAGCAGAGTTTCCATAATGTACCTTCAAATACCTCTGGAAACATGAGGTGATTTAGAAGAAGCTTTTGAGGTAGCTGTAAAGCTTCTTCAAGAAAGAACTTCGACAACTTTGTTAGAAATCTGAGACGTGAACTTTGAAGTTCCAAAAGTCCAAAGAAAGTGACCATTAAATGAGCTTCTGATAACTGTAAGGGTTTCATTTATTAGAGAAGCTCTTTCTGTCATTTAATGGCAGTAGCTGTACATAAAGATAGTAGCAAGCACATGGACTCCAGCAAATATGTTCGATACACAGCTGAACAGGTTGAGGCTTTAGAACGAGTGTACAATGAGTGCCCTAAGCCGAGTTCTCTTCGTCGCCAGCAACTTATCAGAGAATGCCCAATACTATGCAATATTGAGCCTAAGCAGATCAAAGTCTGGTTTCAAAATCGGAGGTGAGAGAAATCCCAACATTCAATAGTGGCAAATGATGATTTTTTTATCATAAGATTCCAAGTTCCATTCCATGGAACCTTTACATCATTTATACATTTCAAGTTTTATGTTGGGTATGTTGAAACCTTTATATTCAAAAATGGAAATTGTAGTTTTTGAACCACATGGTTATCTGTAACAGTAGAATGTAATATATATTAGGGTTATTTGTAGAATGTAATACATATTAGGGTTATTTTTAGAATGTAATACATATTAGGGTTATTTTTCCAGTTTTTATTACTATTATATGTGGCTTATCAGGTGTCGAGAGAAGCAGAGAAAAGAAGCGTCTCGACTCCAAACTGTTAATAGAAAGCTCACAGCAATGAATAAGCTGTTAATGGAAGAGAATGATCGCTTGCAGAAGCAGGTTGCACAACTTGTTTACGAGAATGGCTATATGCGACAGCAGCTGCAAAATGTGAGTGCTTTTAAGAACAGTTGCTTTGTTTGTATTATCATATCGTACTACTTGCATGTGGCTTCTATTGCATGTGTAAGTGTCACTCTTTGTGGTCTCTCTCATTTTTATTGGGCCATTTATGTGTGGTTTTCAACAACTGAGGATCTCTCCTTGGTCTAAGCTATAAAATGTGAGGATCTCTCCTTGGTCTCCATTTGCTAGTGCCATAGGTGCTTAGGAATATTTGTTAGATGTGTAGTTGTGTTCATGGGCTGAGATCATTTGCATTTTGCATGTGCTTTAGGTGCTTAGTGATATTAGTTACAATAACATTTCCAATTTCAGTGCTTAACATTGGTAGCTGTGCTCATTGGCTGAGATCTAGGGTCTAACTATGACCTGAATCACCCAATGAAACCAGATTAATAGGTTCTAAAGAGAGGAAGAAAATCCTCATTTGCTACTGCAATGGTTTCTTCACCGAGCTACCTGGGGAATTATGTGTTGGATATATGTTTTAATTGCAATGTCCAACCCAACATTTGGGACAACTAGAGTGTTTTGATAATGGAGTGTGGTATACAATATCTGGGGTCCGATATTTTCTTTTGATTGGTGGGTTTTGATGTTTTAACTCTTGCAGGTATCTGTAGCCACGACTGATACAAGCTGTGAGTCTGTTGTTACGAGCGGTCCGCAACAACAAAACCCCACACCTCAGCGTCCTCCACGGGATGCAAATAACCCCGCTGGGTAAGAGAGTCATTCATTAATACACCGAGTGAATTCTAAATTCAATAACATGTAGAGTGAGCTCTAAACTCTACTTTTCTTTGTTTTGAATCTGAGTCCTTTTCTTTTCAGACTCCTGTCAATTGCAGAGGAGACCTTGGCAGAGTTCCTCTCCAAAGCCACAGGAACTGCTGTTGATTGGGTCCAGATGCCTGGGATGAAGGTATTTGTTGTCCAAGTCATCCTGGTTACTCTTTAGTTTTTAATTATCTCTTCATCATTCATTGAACTTGGTAAAATGTCTATTTTGTTTCGTTAGTAGATTATGGAATGAATTTCAAAATATATGTGGTATTCTCTTTTTTCTTCCTCCTAATTTATTGGAGTTATGTTTGTGTGTATTGCTGAATGTTGTGTAGCCTGGTCCGGATTCGATAGGAATTGTTGCCATTTCGCATAGTTGCAGTGGAGTGGCCGCAAGAGCCTGTGGTCTCGTAAGTTTGGAACCTACAAAGGTGGGCCTTCTTGAAACCCTTAGTGGATAAATTGTGTGCATATGGGCTATTACCCACCAATTATTTGTTGGTTGTATTGTCTTTCGATTATCATGAAAATTACTGTCCTGTCTTATTTTCCTTATCAATGCACTGCTTATACAGGTTGTGGAGATCCTTAAAGATCGTATGTCATGGTTTCGGGACTGCCGTAATTTTGACATATTGACTGTGCTTCCGTTGGGTAGTGGAGGGACAATTGAACTGATATATATGCAGGTATGTCGGGAATTTATGGAACTCTAGGAATAAATCTCCTTTTGCGTTTCAACGTTGGAGATTGCTAACCCAGTTCTACTTCCTACATTGAGACATTGTTAGGTGAACCGTTTTCTTTCTTCCTTTGGAAATTAATTTTATTTGGGTACTTTCAGACTTATGCCCCAACTACCTTAGCACCTGCACGCGACTTTTGGACTTTGAGATATACTTGTGGTTTAGAGGACGGAAGTCTCGTGGTATATTTTCATTCCTGGAAAAAATTATAGTCTTTGGCAATTGATTACTTTTTGTTTGAATCTTACTCCATTTATTACACAGTGTTCAATTTAAATTTTATTGCAGTAATTTAGTCTTCTATTTTAATTTGTTTCTCCTTTCTCTCTTTTGATAATTGCAGGTCTGTGAGAGATCTCTGACAAGTTCTAATGGGAGTCCACATGGGCAGCCTGTGCCAAATTTTGTGAGGGCCGAGATGCTCCCTAGTGGTTATTTGATCCGGCCTTGTGAAGGTGGAGGATCAATAATTCACATTGTTGACCATCTCAATTTAGAGGTGCATATGTTTTTCTGTTGATAATTTACTTTGAGTAATTTTGCTTGGAGGTGCTAAATTTTGCTTTAGATATTTTTTTTTGTTATTTTTTTGTAAAGAAATATTATTATGTCTTTGGTTTAGTTTTTCCTCATGTACATATCAGTTAAATGAAAAGCTTGTATCTTTCATATTATGTGATCCAGGCCTGGAGTGTGCCTGAGGTGCTACGACCATTGTACGAATCATCCAAGGTCTTAGCTCAGAAAATGACAATTGCTGTAAGTCCCAAGATGATCTATATTTTTACTATGTTGTAATGATCTATTTTATTTGATGGTATAATTTCTGCTGATTTTATTTTGTTATGTATTTAGATTCTCTGTCCAGTAGTAGCATTCTCACTCTTCCTCTCTCTATAATGATTCTTTAGTAGTCCTACTTGCCTCTCTTAAGGGGACATATATAAGGCGCACACTGACTTACGACTTGTAATACAGTTGTTGTCATAAATGGGAACTGTTAGTCCTACGGATCGGAAATAATTCATGAAAACTACAGCCAAAGGATTCTTCTCGAGAATGGAGAAAATTCTCAAAAACTAATGCCTTTGCTATTAATTATTTTTTTGTTTTTTTTTGCCAGATTTTTTTTTTGAAGATAATTTTTCTGCCTTGTTTGGATTAAGAAGCCTGGGGCCATGTTTGTAGCGATTCGTGATTGTTATCTAGGAGTTAAATTTACTTGACAATGAAAATTTAGAGGTAGAATTTCTGTCTAATGCATTTATATGAAATCTAGGCTCTGCGTCATATCCGGCAAATTGCTCAAGAGATGAGTGGTGAGGTAGTCTTTGGCTGGGGTAGGCAACCCGCCGTTCTCCGTACATTTAGCCAGAGATTGAGCAGGTGACTTTTCTTGTTTGTTTTCTCACATTGGGTTATAGTCCTTGAAACAATTGGTCATTCCTGTTGGGCTATAAGTAGTGTTTCATATATGTGAGGTGAAACCGTATTATCAGCCAGTGGAAATGCTTTGCATGCTCATTTCTTTAAAGAAATCATCCTATAGTTTTTCGTGTGTTTCTTCCCTTTTTTGGAAATCCTTTCTGACTTGGTAGTTGTTGCAGGGGTTTCAATGATGCAGTCAACGGCTTTGCGGATGATGGATGGTCCTTAATGAGCAGTGATGGTGTGGAAGATGTTAGTGTTGTCATAAACACATCCCCAAACAAGCATGTAGGTATGAGTGGAGGCATCCTCTGTGCTAAGTCATCGATGCTACTTCAGGTAAATCATTCTTCTCTAGGTTTATATTATTTTTCTCAATTAGCAAAGAGAGAACATGCAAACTATTTCCATTAAGATCATGTAATAGGGAATACAGAGGAGCTTCTCTCGTATACTCCACCATTTGGGAAAACATTCAACTTGTGCATGCAAATGTTCATGTATATTTGTGATGTGCATATGCATGGTCAGCCTTATGTGTACATACATGTGTATCCAGATATATCGGAAAAGCAATATGCATGTATGGGCATATCAGTATATACACATGTAAATATATGGTGAAATAAAAAAGTGGACGGTGATTTATTTGTTGTTTTTGATATAGAATGTTCCACCTGCATTACTCATTCGATTCCTTCGGGAACACCGATCGGAATGGGCTGATAGCAACATCGACGCCTACTGTGCTGCATCCCTCAAGGCCAACCCTTTTGCCATTCCAGGGTCGGGTCCCTCACGTTTCACGGGGAGCCAGATCATTCTGCCACTTGCTCACACTGTGGAAAATGAAGAGGTTCACTCTCTCTCTCTCTCTATATATATATATATTTACACACACACACGCATGCACACAAGCACAGACACATCTATCTGTAATTCCATTTATTAATCTATTTATTCTTATCTGTGAACCATGTCAGTTCGTTGAAGTAATTCGACTTGAAGGCCATGGTTTTCCCCAAGAAGAAGCAGTTGTGTGTCGGGATCTATATCTGTTGCAGGTATGATTTCTTCAATGGAGTTAATTGAAATTTATGCTGCTGCTCCCATCCACAATTAAATTGAATATCAATTTATTACTCTCTCTCTCTCATTTCAGCTTTGCAGTGGGGTGGACGAGAATGCAGTGGGGGCCATTTCCCAGCTTGTCTTTGCACCGATTGACGACTCATTTGCTGATGATGCTCCATTGCTGCCATCTGGTTTCCGCGTGATACCACTTGACTCAAAAACGGTACCACATGAAGACCAACTTTTCTTCTTGAATTACATCTATATATTGGTGGATGGAAAACTGGGGCCAACTCTGGAATTCTCTCTAGAAAAAGCGAGGAAAAATAAAAAAGAACAAAATACTCCTGCCAATTGATCCTCTCCTTTTATGCTTTCTGGTCTGGTTATCACTATTTCTGGTTTCATCTAATCTCTATTTCCCTTGGTTTCGTCAACTTCTTCCGATTTTAGACTCAAGACATGATTTGATTTCTCACTAATTATCTGTAAATCCTTTAATAGTTGTGCAATTGGATTTCAAAATTTCTCAATCTCTCGCTAAAGACATTGATCTTGAACAGTCTTCAACCTCTCTTCTGCTATAACAGAACCCACAAGACAATACAGCTGCTGCGATCCGAACCCTTGACCTCACATCGTCTCTCGACATAGGCTCAGCTACCAACCGAGCCTCAGGTGATGGAGGCGGCCCAAACTCCTGTAATAATCTTCGATCTGTGCTCACAATTGCCTTTCAATTTACTTTTGAGCCTCACATGCGCGACAATGTGGTGGCCATGGCCCGACAATATGTGCGTGGGGTGGTTGGTTCTGTTCAAAGGGTTGCGATGGCGATTTCTCCCTCTAGGCTTGGTGCACAAATGGGGCCCAGGTTGCCCCCTGGTTCACCTGAGGCTGTCACGCTAACACGATGGATCACTCACAGCTATAGGTATTTGAATTGACACCATTTGTGCTGCCCCTCTCTTTCTCTATTAAATACAGAGAGAGAGAGAGAGAGAGAGAGAGAGAGCGAGAGAGAGAGAGAGAGAGTCTTTATCTATTTGAGAGCTTGAGAATGGTGCTCTTAATGGTGGGAAACTTGGAGAGAGAGACCTTTTGGCCTTTCCAAATTGTTAGCTTCATTGGATGGTGGGAAACTTGGTTTATTTTCCTTTCTTATGTTCAGTTTAAATCATGAAATGATTTTTTAATCTTACTTAAAATGATGTCTTTCTCCAGGTTCCATTTGGGAGTAGATTTGCTGAGGGCTGACTGCCATGCCGGGGACTCTGTAATGAAGTTGCTCTGGCACTACTCAGATGCAATTATGTGCTGCTCTTTGAAGGTTTGCATATTTGCACATTAATTGCTGATTGCTGAATTTCTCTCTCTCTCTCGATTTATCTTGATGAGTGACTTGAGAGCCCCTCATGTGGTTAACCCCTTCTCATCATACTTGATAAAATAACATGAGATTCCATTATATTTGCCGAACTAACGAGTTAAGCCCCACATTGTGCCACTCAATTGGTTGTCAACCTAATGGCTCTATTCTAGAACAATTTCTTTAAGGGACTGTTTACTATGAGATTATTTATCGTTTATTACAAGGAGGCCACAATCACTCCTCTATCCGTGAGATGTCAAAGTGGATGACTTCGGGTGAATTACAAAGTTCGAGTAATTTTTTGTAACTTTGAGTCAAATCCATGACACACAACCACCCAAATTAAAATCTGACGGACAAATGTGACCTCTTTGTACTAAAAGTAAATGGTCTCTGTCTACTTTTCTTTTTTTTGAATGCGTTCATCAACTTCACGTGTGTCTAAATTATTATACTAGATATTTTTAATTGAGAGAGAACATAGAAGTTAAAATTTTATTTAAATAGAGAGAGAGACTTCTCTGATTGTTTTTATACAGGCTTTGCCAGTCTTCACGTTCGCAAACCAGGCAGGGCTAGACATGCTTGAGACTACCCTAGTGGCGCTACAAGACATTAGCTTGGACAAAATTCTCGACGAAGGAGGGCGCAAATCCTTGTGCTCGGACTTCACAAAGATAATGCAGCAGGTACGTTGGAGAGAGGGAACAATTTACTTCAAATACTCCTATTTTGATGTTATAGAAATGAAGACTTTCAATCCACCAAAAAAAAAAAAACGAAAAAAAAAGAAACTATTATCATCTTATGCATGTTTGTTACTTTGTTTGTAAGCCTGAAAATGGTTTCTAGTTTTTTTTATTTTATTTTATTTTATTTTAAATTTTGATGGACAATAGAAATTTCGGATTTCACAGGGATATACGTACTTGCCGGCTGGTATATGCGTTTCAAGTATGGGTCGTCCAGTCTCTTATGATCAAGCCATTGCATGGAAGGTTCTTACTGAGGAAGAAGCCACCCATTGCCTTGCTTTCATGTTCATCAACTGGTCCTTCGTTTGATCTCTCTCCCCCGCTCCCGCCCCCGCCCCCGCCCCCCACAGGTTTTTAGATACCATAACCGCACACGCTCTCTCTCTTTATTTTAGATTTCACTAGTGCACCACACTTTTATGGGTTTTCGTCTCTCTTTTCCCCGTTTTTCTTTTCTTTTGTTTTGATTTAGACAGAAGGAAGTGGGAACTAAATTATAGATGGATGTATTATGACACCAATATATAAAGATATAAAAATGACTGTTGTGGGTAGGAAATGAAGGTTGCCTAGGCCTTGGCTGCATTTATTGGCTTGCCTGATGTCTTTTCTCTCTTTTTTTTTTTCGTATTGTTAACTTCTTGACCTTATGCCTTTTCTCTTCAGGGAAATTTGTCAAAATGCAGTTTAAGAGAAGCAATTACTTTTCTTTTGATTTAATTTCGAAAGGCCTGTCAAAATACATGATCATGAGTTGGATATGGTTAAAAAATGGTTTAAACGTAAAACAATTCATCTGTTACGTGTATTTTAATAAGGGAAATAAAATCATGTCACCATGTCATTATATAATAATGAAACCCCCCTTAGATTCAACCGATTTCAACTGCTTTTTTTATGCCACTAGAAATTATATTGGGGCGTGAGTTTTTCTTTGGGTGGATTAGTGGGGAATACATGCTGTTACCTGTTTTCGAAATGGGAACGAAATGGGAAATGTTTCAATGTGACCCCAACGACATATAAGTTGGCTCCACTTCTTAGCCATTTGATGTGAATTGAGCGGCTATAGTTATTCAAACTATAGTATCACAACAAGCGTTATTTTATTTTTTATTTTTTTAGGCAACATTTTTTGATGAAATTTTGGGCGTCTGATCAGAAAATTAGGATGAACCCGGAAAAAAAAAAATTTTTTTTATGTAAAACTAGATGACCAAAATTTGTATATAATGTTATCAATTTTAATTTCCCAATATTTGTGGTCCATCGGATCCCCTTTCTTGCAAAAACTCTAAAACACAATGCCGGTTGTTCATTTATTGTACTTTGGATGTGCCGATCAATTTATACTGTTCCATAGTGTCTTTTGCCTTCTAAAATGACATTTTCAAAAGGGAAATTTATCAAAATATTTTCAATGGAGGACTTATCTAACATTCTACGCCTTTGCAATTAGTCTAACTCATGATCGTGTGTATTTTGAAAGTAAGTTGTGGAAAGAGTGTTGAATAGCGTATCTCTCATTGGTATTTAGATAAGATTGTGGTTTAGATAAGATTGTGGTTTGTATAAGGTTGAGACCTAATCAAAGTAACGCCTACTTCTAAATAGTGTCGAAAGATGATTTTTTAGTAGCAAAAATCTTTGCAGTGCCCTGAAATTTTATTTTTTCCTAATTACAAAATTTAACGCTTCAAAATAGGGTAGATCTATTAGACTTTGAATTTTTTTATGGCCCATAATGTATTACAAGATGTACTATTTTTTAGACTTGAAATCTATTTTTTTCAATGTCTATATATCTTGATGTTAAGATTATTGATTTGAAGGTTTTTCAACATCGAAATCTCTTCTAGTGAAATTTTGAGATGTGCTTTAATTTGATTGTTTAGGGTCTCAACACTCAGCCTTGTATAAATTTTTTCCTTTAGATAAATTTTCTTTTTTCAAATAATGTATATATTTTTCCTTTTAGATAATTTTCTTCCTATAAACCCATATTTTTGGACCTCCTTTCTCTTTGGGGAAAAAATCAAGTTTGTTCCAACACACCTATATTTTTGGACCTCTTCTCTACTTAAGAAAGAAATCAGGTCGGTCTAGCACAATGTGTGCTGGATTGGCTTCGATAGGGATTAGAGTGTCTAACATGATTTGTCATATAAAAGTTATTTTTTTACTTGGGGGTGGATATAAGGAAAAAATAAATAAAAAATATGGAGACTGGTGATGTGGTTTAAAAAATGGCAAAAAAAAGTTGAATCTACTTTGCCCTTTTTTCTTATGTAGTTTGAACTAGTATTTATGGTTTTTTAAGAAATTTGATTCGTCTTACAAGTTGGATTGGCTATCAGTGCTTTAGTTCAAAGTAAATATTGGATTTGGTTAAAAATTGGTTAAAACTAATAGCTTGTTTAGTTCAAATTGAATATTGGATTTGGTTAAAAATTGGTTAAAACTAAAAGCTTGTTTAGTTCAAAGTGAATATTGTATTTGGTTAAAAATTGGTTAAAACTAGTATTTGATTGGTTTGACTCGACTGGTTCAACCAGCCTAATAGAATGGATAATTTTTTTCATATATTATATATTTTAGTTTATTATTTATATTTTTAAAAATCCAATAACACCAATTTAATTAGCAGCCAAGCCGGTTTTGATTGAATCTGATTCTGATGACACTAGGCTAGACCGGTGACAATTAAGTCTGATCTCGATAACCCCAGGCTGAAGATCTTAAAACGGATGGTTATGGCTGCCAAAATTCTAGAACTGGCCTAATAAAAACAAAATAAAGCATCACATGAAATCCTCATCCATAGAGCATTTTTGGCAATGGAAATTTTAATAATGGCTTTAAAATCAATTTCCAACCTTACAATAAAATTTGAAAATAAAAAAATAATACAGATCTTGTGGATCTTTGAACACTTATTTTTAAGTTAAAATAGACGGTCTGTATGACTTGTTACAATATACATTATTTTTAAAGCTTAAAATCCTAGTTTTTAGTCACTAACCGTGAGCTTGAATTACAATTTTGGATGAATTATGGGTATGGTTTTTATAAGGTTGTAACATTAAACAATCCAATTAAGGCGCACATCCAAATTTTATCATAACATATAATTATGGTGTAAGAAATTATTAGAATTATCTGAAAATCTATTTTCATATATAAATTATAAAATTTTAAACTAAAAAAATAGTTAAAATCAAGTAAATCTATGAATATATAAATTTTTTGAAATTAGACGATTTAAATAATGTGATGCAAGATGCATTGGTTTTAGGCTTAATATTTTAGATTTATTTTTCATATTCATACATCTGGTGGTTATAATCAATTAAAGGGCTTTTTAACTTTAAAATAAATTTTTTCGGTGGATTTTTGAGGTGAATTTTTAATTCTACATTTTAAGATTGCGACTTTTTTCCTTATGAGATAGACTTAACTTATTTTGATAGGGCCGCAGCCATTTCAAACCATTTTATGAAAACATGCAGTCCAGCTGCTAGTGAATGGCTTTTTCCGGGGCAACGGACTTCTCGAACTCTCTCTCTCTTAATTTTGTCCGGTAGAATTTGGCGCGGTTTGGGACAAGCTTTGGCCTTTTGTGGCGTGCTGTCCTTTCTCTCTCTCTCTACTCTGTGTCCTCTCTTCTCTCTCTCTACTCTGTGTCCTCTCTCTCTCTCTCTCTCTCTAGGGCACGGCCCAGTACCCTATAAACGGCCTGTCACAGCTTTAATGGTTTTTGGGGTTTTGACTCTTGAAAACGAAATTTCGGAGGTTTACGGGACAAAATTCAGTGAGGGAAAGCCGTCAAGCGAACAGTTAAATTTCGGACTTCTTGGACGAAATTCAGTGAAATATAGAGAAGGCTAAATACGGTTTGAAAAGAAGAAAATTGTTTCGCGCGCGCTGGACGGCAGTTCTACATATGCACTTTAGAAAGTGTAAGGCATGCCGATGCAAGTAAGTGTTCCTTTAAAAACATTGGAAAGTACCGGTCCAAATGTTTATATATATATATATATATATATGTTTGGAAGTATTTTAATTTTAATTTTTTTTAACAGATCCAAATCACTTGAAATTTTAGGTGTATGTTCTTCTTATCAAGGTGCACCTAATAAAAATATAAAAAAATAATTTATAAAAAACCTTCGAAATATTTTGGGGGTATTTTGATCAATTTATTTCATGTAAAATATTCTTTTGATATTTTTTATAGATTCTTCTATTTTTGAAGAACACACACCTAAAATTTCAATTGATTTGGATTTGTAAAAAAAAAGATTAAAATTCAAATACTACCGGACATCTATGATCGTCAGATCGGCCCAGATTCGATCTGGGCCGTTTCGGCGTTTACTGTTGTGGTATACGAATCGGCATACCGTAGTATTTTCCTATATATATATATATATATATATATAGAAAAGTACTTCCTAACATCTATAAGACGAAAATAGAACAGTGATTTGTCCTATGTTACCTACCATCCAAAGTTCATTCCACGATCATGATTGTCTCGTGGTATTTACTAATTTTTTTTTTTTA